CCCTACCATTCTCTCACACACCCTAATCTACCCTCTTCCTTCCTTAAATACATATGTAATATGCAGCTTGTTTGCTTCAAAACCAGAGGATAACATCTAAATCCCTGAGTACAGTAAGCAAAACTCTGCAATGTGTCAAGCCAGCACTCAGTCACCTCTAATGGAAGAACACAGCAGGAATTGCAGTGCAGTTGGTTCAAGTAGGACACAGCAATGCCCCCAACACCGGAGGAGGAGCCACCGGAGGACATTGCTGGAGGAGGGCACGGAACTGAATTTTGAAGGACAGAAAGTTATTCAACCTTAGGAAAGTAATGCTAAGCTACCTTAAGAGGTAGACAGACTGGGAACCAAGAGGTACAGGTCTTCGTCCTGTGTCTATCTCTTACCTCTCTGGACCTTCACTGTTCATCTAGTGAAGCCAGTGTCAAATCCGATTATCTCCACAAAACCTTCAGCTCTAAGTTTACAATGTGTGTGATCTCAACACCTCACAGAAGGTAAATGGGTAATAAAAGAGAATAATGTGGACACAGCACACCTGGTATCCTTCTCAGGGTTAATGTTCTTTTCCTTCATTATATCTTCTACACATCTGTCCACTTCACTCTGAATAACTTGTGTTGCTTTCTGTAAAATCTATTTATATGAAAGAAAGATGAATGAGAAAAGTTCCTAAAAGCCAAAAAAGAAGTATATTTTAAGGCATTTAACTGACTTTATGAAACAGATATGAAAATGCAAAAGCAAACCAATTTGTTTCAAATTTTCCCCAAGGATTATCATATGCATATTTTGTCTGGGTTTCTAATCAAAGAAAACCAGCAACAGGAATTGAGAGTTTTCTTCCCCCTACATGGCCATCCAGTTATTCTGTCACCATTTATTGAAAAGACTTTTTTTTTCCTTATTAAACTTCTTTATTAAAAGTTCTTATTAAAAGTTCTATGACCTCTTTGTGGGCACTGTCTTGGTCTTTTATCTGCTATATTCATCTATTTGCCCAGAAAAGTCCTGAAGTCAGGTCATGTGATTACTGTAACTTCTATCAGAAAATGATTTGGTCTACTGTAGGTTCCTACCATTTCTGCAAACTTGCTAGGATTTTGATTGGAACTGAATTGAATCCATAGGTCAATTTGGGAATTCACATCTTAACAGTACTGTCTTCCAATTGATAAACATAGCTTATCTTTCCATTTTACTTTTTTTCAAAACTGTACTCTGGGCTGGGGCTGTAGTTCAGTGGCAGAGTGTTTGCCTAGCATTTGTGTGAGGCACTGGGTTCGATCCTTACCATCACATAAAAATAAATAAAGACATTCTGTCCACCTACAATTACAAAAACAAAAACAAAAAACCAACCCTATTCTCCAAGAGTTTGAGTGTAGAAGGCTTAAATTGATCCCAAATATTTTGTTTCTGGATGCTAATGCATGTGGTATTATTTTTTTTAATTTATTGTCCAAGTTTGTTACTAACATATAGAAGTACACTGTGTTCTGTGAGACAGTTGAATTTATTTATTAATATGCTTGTAGTTTCTGCAGATTCCTTAGGATTTTCTAATTACAAACTCTGTCTTCTGTTAATAACATTTTACTTCTTTCTGATTATTATGTCTTAAATTTCTTTTTCTTGCTTATTGCACTACCCAGAATCTTCAGCACAATGCTGAACAAAAATAAAGACAGTATACATGCTTGTCCTGCTTTTCAATTAAATGTGCAGAGCACAGGTTTTCCATCATGTTAGCTGCAGGTTTTTCATAGGTCACCTTTAACAGGTTGAGGAAATCTTTGTATTCCTAGTTAAGTGAGAGTTTATAATAATGAATGGGTATTAAAACAGTTTTTCTAGTATTTCTAGTATTTGCTGAAATTATATTTTTTGATTTACTTTGTTGCTATGGTAAATTATATTCATTGATTTTTTAAAATTCAGTCATAATGTATTATTCTTTTTATGCATTACTGGAATCAAATTACTAATGTTTTGCTGTATATGTATGAAGGATACTGCCCTGGAATTTCATTTATCTTTGTCAGTGTCTGGGTTATACAAGTCTCATACAGTGTTTGTTTCTACTCTATATCCTTGGATTTCATATAATAGTGGCATTGGTTCTTCTTCCTTAAATGCTGATAGGAATTCACTAGTGAAGCCAAGATTGGAGATTTGTGTAAAAATTCTAACTCATATATTTCATCTCATTTCCTGGGTATATGGTTACTTTGGTTTTCACTTCTTTTTGTATTGGTTTGACAAACTTGTTTTCAAGGACTTTGGTCATTTCTTCCAAGCTATGGCATTCACTGGCATAAAGCAATTCACCGTACCCCCTGAACTTTAAAAAACAAAGGTGGGAGCCATGCCCCTTCTGTAATCTTAACATTGGTAATCTGCGTTTTCTCTTATCTGGTCAGTGTTACGAGAAGTTATTAATATTATTAACCTTCTTAAAGAACCAACTTGTAAGCTGTTGATAAATCTTTTGTTTGCTAGTTTCACTGATTTTTAAAAAATCTTATTTTAATAATATCCCTTCTTGTATTTACCTTGGGCTTCATTTTATTTTTTAACAGTTTCTCAAAATATAAATACAGATATGCCTTTAAAAACTGATTTGATGAACTACACAAATTTTGATTTTTTTCCCCCACATCCTTGCCAACATTTCTTATCCTTTGGCTTTCTTTCTTTCTTTCTTTCTTTTTTTTTTAAACAGTCATTCTATCAAGTATGAGACGATATATCATGGTAGTATTTTAAATTTTTTATTGTTTTTTCTTAGTTATACATGACAGTAGAATCTATTTTGATAAAATTATACAAGCATGGAATAGATCTTATACTAGTTACAACCCCATTCTTGTGGGTAGGCACAATAGTGGGATTCACTTAGGTCTAATTCATATATGTACATAGGAGAACTGTTAGATTTATTCTGTCTTTCCTACTCCTATCCACTCTCCCTTTCTTTGTTCCCCTTTGTCTAATCTACTGAGCTTCTCTTCTTCCTCTCTCCCACATAATGCATAAAAAGAGTAATACATATGACTGAATTTCTGGGATTGGCTTATTTCACTTAGCATGATAGTCTCCAGATCCATCCATATACTGGCAAATGACCTAAAGTCTTCTTTATGGCTTAGTAATATTCCATTGTGTACACATACCATAATTTCTTTATCCATTCATCTGTTGATGGGCATCTAAGTTGTCTCCATGGTTTAGCTATTGTGAATTGCGCTGTTATAAACATCAATGTGACTGCATCACTGTAGTATGCTGATTTTAAATCCTGTGGATATATACTAAGGAGTGGGATAACTGAGTCAAATGGTGGTTCCATTCTTAGTTTTTGAGGAATCTCCATATTGCTTTCCAAAGGGGTTGCACCAATTTGCAGTCCAACCAACAATGTATGAGTGTTCCCTTTTCCTCATGTCCTTGCAAATATTCATTGTTACTTGTAGTAACAATGTATATTGTAATGTAGTCTTGATAGTTGCCATTTTGACTAGAGTAAAATAAAATCTCAGTGTAGTTTTAATTTGCGTTTCTCTAACTGCTAAATATATTGAACATTTTTTCATGTATTTGCTCATCATTCTTATTTCTTTTGAGAAGAAATAAGTTCCTCTGCCCATTTATTAATTGGATTATCTGTTTTGTGTTAAGTGTTTTTGAGTTCTTTGTATATCCTGGAAATTAATGGTCTGAGGTACAGGAAGCTGATTTTCTCCCATTCTACAGGTTCTCTCTTCATGCTCTTATTTCCTTTGCTATGAAGAAGCTTTTTAGTTTGATGCCATCCTACTTATTGATTTTTTATTTTATTTCTTGAGCTTTTGGAGCCTTGTCAAGGAATTCAGTTCCTGAGCCAACATACTAAAGTCAAATTGGGCCTACATTTTTTTCTAGGACGTGCAGGGTTTCTGGTCTAATTTCTAGGTCTGTGATCCACTTAGAGCTGACTTTTGTACAGGTGAGAGATAGGGGCTAACTTTCATTCTGTTACATGTGGATTTCCAGTTTTCACAGCACCAGTTGTTGAAGAGGCTATCTTTTCTCCAGCGTGTATTTTTGGCGCTTTAGTATGAAGTAACATTTAAGTTGGTTTGTCTGTGTTTTTTTATTCTGTTCCATTGGTGGTCTTATCTATTTTGGTGCCAACACCATACTATTTTTGTTACTATAGTTCTGCAGTATAGCTTAAGGTCTGATATTGTGATGCCTCCTGCTTTGTTTTTCTCACTAAGGATTGCTTTAGCTATTTGGGGCTTCTTATTTTTCCAAATGAATTTCATGACAGCTTTTTCTATTTCTATGAAAAATATCATTGGAATTTTGATGGGAGTTTATTATTTAGTTCAATTTTCTTTTTATATTTTCCTATGAATTCTTCTTTGACCTATAGATTACTTAAAAGTTTATTTTCCATATACTTAGGGATTTCATTTTTTAGTAGTCCTTATTACGTCATTGATAAGAAGGCCCTAGTCTAAAAACAAGATGATGAGTCTCAATTTTTAACAAAGAATATCCAATGAGAGACAGTTCACAACCCAACAAAAACATACTTTGAGATCACCACTTCAAGAACCAGCCTTAATAAATAAAATCACTTTTATTCTCAGACATTATGGTAATGACAAACATTTAAGGACCTACGAGATTTTCATGAACATCAAACTACTAAAATTCTTGTAATATATATTAGTTTAATTCCATTATCATTAGTATTATCAATATTAGGTATTCCCTAAGATTGCTTTCATATTAAAATCTCTAATCCTAAAAAAACCATGTGGATGTTAATACTTTTACAACACAAAAATAAGTAACCTATATAAGGTAGGACAACTGGTACACAGTTAAAACCAGAATTTAAACCTAGCCTTTTTTTTACATAATAAATAAGTAGATTTGGTCAACAGAAATATCACTTAATCAGAATTAAACTTTCTCTTTAAAGTAAATGACATATACAAATAAAAGAGACACACAGTACATGTGTAAATTGATAGGCTTTCTCTACGTATTAATATTAACAAGTTTGCCTTAGATTTAAAACTTCAATAGAACAAAGCACCTGTGATTTTGTTCAGTTTTTAAGTACTCATTTGTTGATCAATCTTTTAACAATATGCCTGTGCACTATTATCAATTTATACTTTTTAATGATGAAGTCGTAAGAATACAAATTTAATTTTTACTTTCCAAATGAGTTTTTAAAGCTAGTAAATACCATCAGTACCTTAAGAGTCCCCAAATGCTCTAGTCCCAATTTACCTTTTCCTTGTCTGAACTCCTGTATGTAATAACATTTGATATCAGTCTCTATTTCTCTCCTATGTATAATGAAATTCACACCAAACTTTACTTCTTTTGTATATATCAAAGCCCCCAGTGGAATACTGATCATATGGTAGTCACTCATTCTGAATTTAAGATTTGACCAGTGTAGCAGAGTTCTTAAAGTAATACCCTATGTACTATTCCCCTTAAGCTTTCATGATTTTACCATGCATCAATCCCATTAATAAATTCTGAGACAAATTGTTAAAATATATTATAGTGATAACAGTTACACTGTCAGACACACAATGCCATCTCAATTCTAGGACCTGGCTAGTGAAGGAGCAATGAAAGAAATGCTACAGACTCTATTTGGAGAAAAAGGAAACTTTCATTTACCTTCTACTCTTTGCCCTTTTATATTCTAAGCCTTTATTACATTCTAGACTCTGTTTCAGAACTACTGATATATCAGAAAAAAAAAAAGCAACACTGTTTTGTTTTGTTCTTTTGTGCAGGACAGAATGGAAAAAGGCAAAAATAAAAAAGGTGAAACAACTAAACAAAGACTCCAGGGAGAGTTGAGGGGGCATAATTTTGAGCAGAGAGTGGTCAGAGTGCTCACGAAGAGGGTCAAGACTGAGCAAACACCTGAGGATGAGGAACTAAGTTAAGCTTTTAACTGCAGGAAGAAAGATGAGACATAAAGTTCCTGCGGCCAGGTAATTTTGATTCTGAGGGGCAAGGTGGAGTTCTGAGGGACACTCTGGGGCAGAGGGTTATCAAGGTATTTGAATGCCCACACTCCTGCAGAACTGGGAGTGATGGCTGAGGACTGTGGGTGCAGCATAAAGAGCTTAGTTATAGTTTTATACTCTGCAATTTCAAAACTGAAAGAAAGCACATTTCACAGGACAATTTATTCTAGAGGGTTTAGCATCCAAATAGTTCCAAATTTTTGACATTTTGAAACACAACTTGCTTAAGGTCATTTGGAAAATGAACATACTGTTTCCTAGAGAAACAAAGAGCAGTTATGAGGCAAAATGATCCCTCCCAGAGCATAAATATGAAGACCCTCAAAGCAGGGCCCTGACCAGCAGCAGCAGCAGCAGCAGCAGCAGCACCTGGAAACATGTTGACTGGAATCAGAAGTGAATAAGAAATTCTGGAGGTGAAACGTAACCATCTGTACTTTAACAAGTCTCCAGAAGATTCTGACACATTCTCAAGTTAGAGAGCTACTCTTTTAATAGATTTGACATAAACCACTTGTCAAGTGCATCTATTACAATTTAAAATATCGTTCCTTTAGGTAGCTACATCATAAGTTTCAATTAAAGGAACTACACGGTGGGTAAGGTATAAAAAGATCTTTTGAACCAGTAACTTGCTAGCTTTCTGGATTCCACAGTCTCATTAGAAAGAAAAAAAACACTAATCACAATTTATGATTCTGACAAAAGAGGACTCTGGCCTCCTCTCCCCTTACACAGACAAATCAAAACAAACAGAAAAAAAACACTAACAGACTACAACTGAACTAGTAAAGCCCCTACTTTATAGGTCACTCTCCAGAACATAACAGATCGCTTTCACACTCAACAACATCCATTCTGCTTCTAGCACAAATCTATCTCATATATTTTCTACTCTATTCCTTTCATTGCTGTTTAGTGTGGATTGTGATCTATTAATGGGCTTTCAACAACCCCAAAAAGCAACACTGTTTTGTTTTGTTCTTTTGTGCAGGAGAGAATGGAAAAAGGAAAAAATAAAAAGGCGAAACAGCTAAAGAAAGACTCCAGGGAGAGTTGAGGGGGCATAATGTTGAGCAGAGAGTCTACATGACTCAAACTCAATCTGTGGCCATAACAAAATTTACTTAAGGGAAGTAGCAGCATGTGAAAAGACTGAAATATTGGTCCCAAGTTTTCACTGCCCTGAAAGTCAATTATACACCTACCCACCTACCACAATCTTATGGTGGGCATAGTGTAATTCTCCTCTCCTTCACTTGGGCTTGGCCACTTATTTTAAACAATGGATGCTAATGGAAATGACACATGAGGTTTAACATACATCTGTGTGGCTGACCACCGGTGATCTACTGTAAGAGCATTCTGTTGATACCCAACTGCATCTCCTACCTGGTCCCAGAGTAAAACACATGAAATAGAGCTGAACCTGAAGAACTCGAAGAAGAGCTATTCCAGCTAACCCAGACACAAGAGATGACATACTGCTTTATGCTCCTGAGATTTTATAAGTTTCTTGTTCAGCAAATGCTGACTAATATATAGCATAAGCTGCTATATATCAGGGCTTAT